GCCAGTTCTGGCATGATAGACATGAATATAGTGGTATTGCCATATTTCTGGTATTATTTGATCATGAACAAAGACCTGATTATGCTCCTGCTTATTGGTCTTTGTCTTTTAATTGGAACTAGCTCATATTTAATCAGTGCATTCTCAAAGTTTACAATTTTTTTTTACATCTGCCCCTTTACTCCATATTTAATCTCTTAAAATATGAGAAGATCTCACCAATCACGGAATAAATGGGTTAATAAGTTTACCCCTTTCGGTTCTATTTGCAAGGATTTGTGGATTGAACTCAGGCAACAACCAAGCACATTTCCTGGCTGAGTCATCTTGCCAGTCCTTTGTCTGCCCTTTGACTGTCTCTGGCCTAGTCTCTGTAAAGAGTCTAGCTCTAGAAAATGCCTTGATCTTTGTGTATGGTAACTTCAGACATCTTTCTCCAAATTGCAAACACTGCATTTTGTCATGGAGATACCAGAACTACATTATTTCTGGGAGATGAGAGAAGGGAGTGTTTTCTTTAGCTCCTTAATTATTTTAAGTCTCCTTTTTGTTTCTTCTTTTGACTTCCTTCCTTTCTCTCTTTCTATTAACAGATCTTTATTTTTCGTTGTATAAACTTGGTTCATTTGAATAAAATCATATTTTAAGTTACTTTATTTTAGAACAGTTTAGGGCATCCTAATTTTCTAGACAGTGTTTGCTTTTCTTCTAGATTTAGACACACAAAAATTCTCTACTTCAAACAGTACTTAAATAGTACTCAAACAATGAATACTTAATTTATTTTCTCTAAAGAAGTCTAATGGTGTAATAAGATTATGAAAGCATATATGGACTTTTGTACTTGTGAAATTTGTAACCTCGCATTAGTCACCTAATCACAAGCATAACCAAGGGAATGTGTGGTGTCTGAATGAGAAATAGAGTACTCTTTGACCATAAGCCTATGTGATAAACCAAGCTCAGGGTTCTAATTAGTTGTAATAACAGGTGGAAAGACCCAGGAAGAACATCTGGTTATAGGATGCATTCCATGATGCAGAAAATGAGATAATGTTGGAGGGACAGGGGAGAGGCCCCTGGGCAGATGAGTGAAAGGAAAGATTGTGTGAGGGGAAGTTAAGGCAGGAGACGTGGGGTATACAAAGGTTTGGGTCTTTTGTAGAAAATAAACAAATGAAGAAACAACTAACCACAATATCACAGCATTAAAAATTTTCAATCTGTGAGTGAATCATGAAGACATTGGAGATGGAACCTTACTTTCATAGCTGCTGCAGAAGAGAAGCCAACAAGAAAAAACAGAGGACAAGAGAAGAAGTAGGGTCGACAACCAAATCCCCACAGCAAGAGAAGGACTGAGGTCAACAGCCTGGAGTCCAACAGTAAGAGCAGAGGTGAGGTCAACAGCTGGATCCCCACAGCAGGAGAAGAGCTGAGGTCAACAGCCCGGATCCCCACAGCAAGAGAAGGGCTGAGGTCAACAGCCCGGATCCCCACAGCAAGAGAAGGGCTGAGGTCAACAGCCCGGATCCCCACAGCAAGAGAAGAGCTGAGGTCAACAGCCTGGATCCCCCACAGCAAGAGAAGAGCTGAGGTCAACAGCCTGGATCCCCACAGCAAGAGCAGAGGTGACAGTCAACAGCCTGGATCCCCACAGCAAGAGCAGAGGTGACAGTCAACAGCCTGGATCCCAACAGGCCAATGGAAGTAAGGAGAGCTGAGTTCAGGCTTCGTGTCACATCTCCTGCTATAGCTTTGGCAACAGAAACTACTGAAGACTTTTATGCCGAGCATGGCAGGACCAATGTGCTTTCCGTACTGTTGGCCGACGAGACAACTGTGCAGATGATGGCTTTGAGAACAGCACAACAACAATGCCATTAAGAGGCCGCTGCAGAAGTGCAAGTAAGAGCCAGCGGGGTCGGAGGGAGGGTAACCGTGTTCAGTATTGTAGCAGCTAGACTTTATTCTGCCCACAAATCCTAGCTACCAGTATATGGAAGTAACACAACAGTATGTGGCTTTCTTCTAAATGCCCGCAGCAGACAGGACTAGGCTCTTGAAAGGGAGTTCTCAAATCATGTAAAGACTCTCATCAGTTGATAGTAACAGTTTCTTCAATTTTTCTGTTCAAACAAAAAAATTAAATTTCCCAGCTCAACAGAATAAAGACTGCCTCTACAGGAGACTCTCTCCCCACCAGAACAGGAATTCATCTGATCACCCTGGGTTTTCCCAGAACCTGGTAAGGATTTGCACAGAAAATGAAAGGAAGTCGGTTGGCTTTGCTAATAGCCAATCATTATTGTTGTAATTGTTTATGTTCGAATGGTCAGGTGCAATTCTGAGTACAATGAAAAATGAGAATTTCTTGGTTTTCAAAAATACAAAGTATTGAAATTGTTAAATATTTCTGCACATATTTTATTTGCAGCAATTTTTATTGATAGATGAAATAAGACCAAATATAGACCCTGTTGAGACAAATTGTTTACTTTCCTGTACTACAATTATGACACCAGACCAGAGTTTTTGGAATTTATTTGGTCAGATTCTAAACACTCACAGACCTTTCCTTCCTGCTTCTATCAATTTTCTTGAGTGATTAACTTGGATATCTGCGGCCTTCACGGCTGCAACTGTGAGCTGCAACTCTTCCTCTCTTAGCTCAATGGGCAAACTCTAGTCAATGTCTGAGCTGGGCTTGCTGCAGAAACACGGGAAGATTTCCAGACTTGGTGGAGTCTGCTCCCTCCTTTAATTTTGTAACGATTTTATCCCCAGTTCATTTTCTTCGGCTTCCCTACTTGTCTTTTTTAATGTATGCCCATCAGTTCTAAGTCATCCCATTATGCACGCGGTATGCATGCGCACCTGTTACTGCTGTTGTTTGATGTGTCTGCCATAATTAGAGGTTATCATTTCCTTTGTCTGTTTGCACATGGAAACTCCATGTTCAGGCTCAGGAATGTTCCAGCTTCTTTATCCTTCAGTCTAACTGTTCTCCCCCTCTCCTTGAGAACTATTTTAAGTCCGTCTCCTGAGAGATAACCTGTATCAGCTCCCACTGCTTTCTGAGCAGGTGACTTCATACCTATTTCATCAAGGAAATAATAAGCATCAAAAGAATCCTTTTTTCTTTTTTTAATCCTTTTTATTCAAAAGCTAGTGCCTAAAGCCACTGTCTTTTCCTCTTGTTTATGCGTTTTAGTTTTCATAAGGTAGTAGGTTCTAAGCTCTGCCTCCACATGACAATGTGTAAATATACTCTTGCCTGGACTGAAACACTTGTTGATAAACACAAGAAGTTAAACTGATATTTTCAATATTTATTAATAAGGCTGATACAACAGCCTTTATACAGCACAGTTTTCATAGGTTATCAAGATACAACTTGTGTACGGTCACAAAACCAATACATGTTTTTACATAGAGTGAAACTCAAGACAGATTTACAAGCATTTTGTTCTACACAATTCTCATGTATTTTTAGGTCAGTTTACACAATCAATAGCCCAAGAATTTGCATTTGTTCATTAAAATTTTTCAGAGTGTTAGGTAGACAAAGAAATAATAAAAAGATTGGCAAATCACCAAGAAAGCATGCAACACATGGTCAGAAATGGGACACATCTCCAAGTACTTCATATTTTATTGGAAACAAATTTTGTTAGGCTTTAAACTTTTCTTAGACAAGAAACACCCTTTGAAAGAGACGTGTTGGTAAGATATTAGCACACACATTGGTCAGTATGGGAGCACCGGAGCACATCACTGAACACAGACACGGACACAGTTGGATGGGAATCACAATCACATGCTGACTTCCAGAGGGTGAGCTGAGTTCAACAGCTGCTGTGTTACCAGAGGTCTAGCTATATACAGGGTAACAGATTCAGAAAATGCTCTCAGGCTACCTAGCGGATAAAGAACTCGACTAAACGATTTTTGTTGAATGTGCATCTTTAACAACAGCCACACGAGACATACAGAAAACATAGATGTGTCATATTCAATGAGACTGTAAGTTTCACTCATTCATTCTTGTGTTACACTAAAGGCAAACACCTATTCAGGGAAAAGCTCCTCATGAGGTACCGAGCTTTCATTCCAAACTCAAAAGGAGGGAAAGTCTCTCCCGTCATACATATATTTATAAACACATGTGGCTGTAGTTGGCTAATTTTGGACTATTTGACATTATAGCAATTAAAATAAGTTTTTAAAAATATTGTTAGTTATGATTTAAATAATAAAGTAAAAAAATACTATAAACATCTTTATGGTATTTTAATGGAACGAAGCATTGGTTAAATCATTTCTCATAAATTGGGCACAATATAGTAACAAATATTTATTTTACTTCACATCACTGCCACCACTATTGCTACTATGGCTACCACCAACATCATAACAGCCATTCTATAATGAGAATCAATATCAGCTGGTTACCAGCTATAATTTTCCCAGGATACAATTGTGCTAGTGTGTGTGATTCCCCAAATCAACCTCATACATATGCAGAGGATGTATATTTAACTATCATTAATTACTAAAATATGGACAGTATTAAGGATCAAGGGCAATTACTATCTCTTACTGTTGAGTATTGTTCTTTAAACAGAAATGCTAATCAAACAAGTTCAGTGTCACCAAAATTTTTCTTAATATTAAGTAAAATCAGAGAAAACACCAAGTTCTTGCTACAAGTGTCACGTGAGCATCTGTAGCAATGATTCTATAATTCCCTGTTTTTGTAAAAATTCACTCTGTGCTTTTTGTTCTCCAGTTGAAAGATTCCTTACTACTAATCTTTAAACCAACAAGCGACTTCCATCTTTGACGACTCAGTGGACTAGTGGGGAAAACAAAATGCTTCTCAAGGTGTAAGTGCTGCAAGAAGATTGAGAACCTAGTGGTCAGAGATTATAAACTTTGGTATTGTTGAGATAGAAAAGCTAATTCTAATAAGAAAACATAAAATAAAAAAATGGAAAATCATGTGTTGTGTTATTTACCAAAAAAAGTAAAAAACCACTAAGAGCCCTATTTGCAATTAAAAAAGAAAGAGTTCCGTGGTGAGAAGGGCGGTCGGCCTCCCTCCAAGTGCGTTCCTGTGGGGATTGGTGTTGCATAGAACAGGTCCAGTTACAACCTAGGAGTCTGGTCAGCTGCACATAGGGCACACTGGCAGGACCTGTTTCAAGGGGAATGCTGGTGCATGACAAGAAGTCCTGTCGTTGACTCTCTCGATTGATCTCATTGATCTAGCCCTATTGCTAGTCCTTTGGAGTGGAGGGGCAGCCGCCCTAGAAGGGCTTCCATTATTTCAGGCGTAAGAGCTACTCCTGTTGATTTTGCTCTGGTGGGCCTTCCGAGTGTGTACGTTGTGACAAGAATGGAGCAAGCTACTCAGCTGTATCACCTTTCACCAAACCCTTTGGTACCAGAGACTGTAGAGCAGGCCAAGAGATGGACCTGAGTTGCCTGTGAAGAGATTTTGATGTTCCACATTCTCTTAGACCCCTTTCCTCCCCAGTTGTGACTGGTTACAGGTTTCCAGTAGGAGTGTCTGCTGGAAATATCCATGGCAACCACCAATATATCTAATAGTCTCTAAAAATAAATGTTAGCAATATTCTAGCTTCGAAAATTTGCTTCCCCCATGTTCACTTAGAAGACTATCAGTGGTAAATGGTATTGCATTGGGAGGGGAGAAGAAAGAAAATAGGGGAAAGAATATGTTGGTATTTTAGGACAAAGAAAAGTGAACTTCAATTTTTTTAATGAGTGTAAGATACATAATTTGGCATATACTAGAAATGTTTACTTCTAGGGTCTTGCATTACTTTTAAATTTAACGTTTTTCTCTAAAAATGAGAAAATTTAATATCCAACCAACATTTTTGAAATGATTTCCTACCATTCCATTAAAACCTCATCTTAAATAAAGTAACAATTTTTTACTTCAAATACTCTGCAAAGTAATTTTGTTTATTTTGGGCAGGATGTGGTAGTGGAATAAGAGCTGTGGACTTCAGAAAACTTTGTATGACAAATAACTTTTATTTAACGTTCTATCTTTTTCAGGTTAAATGGAAGTCTGTTTAAATGGAAGTTAAATGAGTCTTGGAACAATTTACTGTTTTTATTCATGCTGACGCTTATCCTTGGTTGGAAGTTGCTTCTCACATACAAAATTTGTGAATTAAAAAGCTACACAATAATTGTCTTTCAATTTGTATATAAAGCAGTATCTGGGAATGTGCTTTCCTAGTTCCTAGACCTCTTTATTTGAGCATCCTGTTAGGAGTGATCAGAAAACACCATTATTTAGGGGGAAGTGAATTTGATCTGCGTTTGAGAAGTGGTAACATGCAAGATCAGTAGCAGAATCAGGACGAGATGCCAGGACTTCAGCCTCGGCCGAGCACAGCTCCTGCAGGCTCCGCGCTACCTTTTTTTTTTTTTTTTTTATTGACCCTGGTGGTTGATCGGGAGAGAGAGAGTTTCGTTTTGGCGATTCACACATTGGTTGTTTGGTTCTATATTATTAAAATAGATCAAACATATTTTAATTTCCAACATTGATTTTTTTTCCAGCCTTTCCCAACATTGGCTTTCCAACGATGATATTATCACCAAGAAGAAAGCAGAACAGGAGAAAGGACTTGAGGGTGTTGTCAGGGTGCTCATGATATGGTTACTGGGTATAGAGAAAAACCACAGAAAAATTAGAAAGTGACAACGGTTTAATCAATGTCATATGATAAATATGATTCCTTTTGCCAGAACAATCATTTGATGTCTCTGACAACACATTATGCAGGAGGAAAGAAACATGTAGAATGATACATGTAGGGCAGCTCCTCAGTGAATGAGCAAACCTACTCATAGGACACACCAATTCATCCAGACGCCTTGATGTGCTGAAAGTGCCTTGACCTAGCGGAACGTTATAGAGATTGCAGTGGTTTCAACCAAGGGACATGTTTTGTGGGTCAGCATTCTCTTTTAATGTCCAGTCACTAGTTTTTTGTTTCATTTCTAGGTAAATACAGTTTAATTTTAACCTACGATTATCTTCACTCTTCACTATTTTAAGTTACACCAAAAGGAGATGTGCTTCTGCCGTACAGAATCCAGACCTAGCGCTGTATAGCTTCCTAATGTGGACATAGGGAAAACATGCACGGTCCAGTCTAAAATCCATTGTTCACAACTCCTGCTTCATTTCCCCCATAAACACAGTCACCTTCTGGTCCTGTAGACAACTCATAGATGCATCTTAGGTCAGAATTCCAAAGCAGGAAGTTTTTTGAGAATATAAGACAAAGAGTTTTGTACTTTTCAAAACTGAGCTTCACATGACCCGTCCTTTGGAACAAGGTTTCTGTGTGCACCAACAATTGCTTTCACTCTACCTTTGACTGCCATAGAAAATCCTCTGTGCCTCTTCATTAGCTCAGGCTGCTCCAAGACTCCCACATCAACACGTCAAACTTCCTTCCGCAGCTTCTCTTCACAGCTTTGAGAAATCCAGGGTCTCGGGCCTATTTTCCTCGGTTTGCTTTCAACACGTGAACTTTAGGAGTCACGTTGTATTCCACAACAACGCGGTGTGTTGGGTTCTTGTTTCCTACCCCATGTTTGCCCCTGAAAACATGGATCAACACAGTAATGTTCAACTCCAGTCTCCCTCGGAGGCTACGGAGCTCCGCTTCCTCACCCTGAGCAGACAGCTTCAGTGTGTTTGAGTCGGCGTGACTAAAAGTTTGTGCCAGTTCACTATTCTCTTCCTCAGATCCACTTTGTCAAGCCAGATGCAGGCTTCTCCAATCAAAGTCTTCTTCATGAACTTCCCTCCATTGGAGAACAGCAAAATCTAGAGAGCAAGGTCAGAATTATACGTGTATAAATGGATACACACACATGTACATTTTTCAACTTTTCAAGACTTTTACCATCAAAGAATAACAAGGAAGAAAGGGAGACATGAGGATATAGTGTAAATACTTGAAAGAAAGAGGAAATAGTATTAAAATATCTATACATTAGTCCAGATTAACATTTCTGTGAAGGATAGGCAACTATGACATATACCAGGAAAGTTATTCTAATCAGTTATGCTTAAATTGATGCAAAATTTGATATTTAAAATCTGGAATTTCAGATATAACTATAACTTCTGTTTTTTGATTTGGGAACTTCTCATAATTTTTTTAATCACTAGAGTCCCTATGGTCATATCAAGTCAGTTTCATAAAACCTCATTATGTTTTTTTTCTGAAAACTTCCCTTTCTTAATTTCTGGATGACACTTGTGTTTTCTGAGGCTGTAGAGCTTTGTCCTTAATATTTTATTCCTTCCAACCTTCATATTAGCTAACTCTGTCAGTGAAGCTTAACTTTGTTTTCCAAATATATATGCATGTATAAATATATATTTATATACACACACATAAATATACACACATGTGTGTATATATATATATATATGATTATATACATATTTCTAAAACTTTAATTTACATGTATGTGCATCTGGCGAGTCCAGAAGAGAGTGTCAGACTCCTGCAGCTGAAGGTAGAGGAGGTTGAGAGCCGGCTGACATGGGCCCTGGTGGTGAACTTGGGTCCTCCGGAAGGGCAGTATGTACTTTGAACCACCGAGTTATCCTTGCAGCCCTGAACTTGCCTTTGTTCCTTGTGTTTATCTCCATCATGAAATGGCTTCATATAGCTGCATCTATTCCCCTCTATCCACTTTTCTCCCCCTTCCCTTGTCTACTGGAGGCATGCTATGTGAAATTAATTCTGCTAGATGGCAGGGGGAAAGATAATGAAAATTAGGCCTTACCATAGAGAAATAGCGGCAGGTGTGCACATACATTATTGTATAGGAGAAATTTTGTTGAGTTGTAAAATAAGTAAAACAATTCGTGAACGTGTTCTGAAGTATACTTAGGGTTCTCAGTCAAAACATATGCTGAGAGATAGCGATACATAAGAAGGAAGCTTTGAAGGAGAGGAAATATGAGCAAAGAACTCAAGGATTAACTTAAAAAGACTCAAAAGTGTCTGGAGTACTGACTGAGTGGGAAAACGACGAAGAACCAAGTCTAAACCAACATAGCTAAAGCTCACAGTGGAGGACTCTGAATGATGCAAGAAAAATGACGTTTTACCGACAGCTTTAATGAAAAGCAAACACAGTTTAATAAAGAAAACTCTGGCAGCAGTGTGCTGAAATGAAAAGGTGAGACACCAGAGAGAAACAGACCAGGTGAACTACCAAGATGCTGCAAATACCAGAGAAATGAGCCAAGAGTGAGTGTGGGAGCAAGAACAGTCCACCTAAATTAGCAGAACAGAGGTCAGGATTGGCTGGTGATTGGATGGACTGAACAGACTGAGCGGGTTCAAAGGGGTCCTGCGGTGATACTTAGTGGTTAATTATTATATAGTAAATGATCAGTATTTAAACACTGAATAACTGAATGAACAACACATAAACGATATAAATGAGAAAGTTGATCAGTGATATAGGACACAGTTACCTGAAGAGAGTGACCTGCAGGACTCAGGCTGAATCTGAAGGTTTCGTTGAAGGAAGGCTCTCGGTCATGTCTGCATACCCTTGTCTTCTTCTTGATAACCTTCTTTTGAGTAGAGATGTTGATCACGTATATTTTCACATATAAATCTGAAAATAGGAGGTAATCCCGGTAAGTGTCATTGAGCAGTCATAGTGCTGTCTGTTGCACGGTGACGCACACAAGCACAGGAATTGTACAAATTGCACACAGTTTGTTGCAGAAAGCATACAGTGATTGGAAGTATACAGTTTTCTTAGAAATTTGAGTCTGTTTTCCTGTTGTTTATTAAATGTATCTCTCCAATTTATATGCTTAAAATCTAGAAGACTAGGAAATTATAAATTATATTATATAAATTATAATTTATAAATTTATATTTATAAATCTCTCTAATTTATATGCTGGAAAATTTTTTTATTTTAGGAAAACGATTTTATTCTTTAAGTGAGAAGTAAGTAGATTCTTGTTTCATAGTTTTTTTCCTAATGCATTTCATGCACACATAAAAATTTCGGTAGAATTTCTCAGAATATTTAAGACATGTTCTAGTGAATTAGTAGATATCTTGATTATTGTCATGGAACTAGGTACCTGGTAAATGATCCGGAGACTTAAATTTGTAGGTAATATTTCTGCACTGGAGAATTTCAACTATTAGTTGTTCGCCGTCTGTTTTCATTTCCTTTTTCAGGGCTAGCTTGATTTCTCCCATGACTTGAGTTTTTGCTAGAAGAATTTAACGAAAACAAGTTGAGGAACCATCAGCGCTACTTTTTAAATGCTTAGCTTAGCCACTTCCATATGTTCGCTTCCGGGATTTTTATCAAGTATTAAACACTTTCCTGTATGTTACGGATATGAGGCGCAGTCCGAACCCTCAAGGACTAAATAGTTTCATGAGATCATATCATTCAGATACTTGTAACAAAGCATGCTAAATATGACGGTAGCCTAGCAACCAGGGAGATGAAAGAAACTCTAAGCAGGTGTACCACTCAGCTGTAGAGTCTTAGGTTTGAAGAGGTAACTGATGACCTTGGAGGAGGAAAGACAAACACGGAAATCACAAAATTCTAATATACTTTATAGGCATTAAAAAGGCTTTAAAATGTGGTATATTCTTCGTCAACAGTTGTGTAGCATCAGGGTTGCTCAAGAATTCATGATAGCATAACAAATCTCACTGGTTGAGTTTCCATTTCCTGTTTCCTTTGTAACATATAGACAGTTGTGATGTGTAATGATAAAACTATATAAGGCAAAAATACCACTTAGGTAAAAGCAAGCCAAGTGGGCAGGGTTGGGAGACTGGGCGGTGAACCGGCTAAGCCGTTAGGCTGTCCACCCAGGAGGCCTGGAGTCCGATTCCACATGAGCGCCAAATGAAGAAGGACGCTTAGAAGAAATCCCACACTAGATCAGAATTGAGAAATAGATGGTTATTTATTTAGGGGTAGACTCACAAATCAGAACCCTCTGCTTAAACAGAGAACAAAAACCGAATCCAGCAGCTGGAAAGAGAGCCAACCCATTCTCTACATCGGCTTATATAGTATAAGAGGCCATGCCCCAGTGGGTGGGTAACCACAAGCTGTAAGACTTCCTACAGCAGATATAAATTGTAAACCGATTCATTTTAATTTCTTTTGCTGTTTTACCTTTCTTTTTAATTGAAGGAACGTTTCCTGCTGCATCAAATCTGTTATTAATCTACCCATTTCTCTATTAATTCATGAACCCATCCACCAACTCATAATTTGGTCACTGTTCTACTTTGGGATTAGCTAAGCAGAAGGGGTACAGTATGTATAAAATGCTGAAGCATGACTGTAAGTTTATTTTTAAGTGAGAATCTTTCATTTCTAATGCTTATAAACATAATCCACATAATCAAGACTCTTTTGAATTTTTAACAGTACAAATATAGCCTACAAAAAATGCTTGAGAGCACATTGCTGGCAGCTGTGCCTAAAACAAAATATAGACGGAGAAATTTTAAATAATCGTCTAGGCGCACAGGATTTTTCACCCACTGGGAAGAGATATTTTAATTAGAGATTTCAATGGGCGAACAAATGAATAGGAAGAGAGATTCTGAATTTTATAGTGACTTGGTTTCAAAGAGAATGTGACACAGGACCTCGTCCTGGGAAAGAGCTAGAGCTGGGAGGAGGGCGAGGACTAACTGAGATGCAAGGGAAAAGGAATCCTTCCGGAGAGAAGGAAGAGTATGTTAGCAAACAGGTCTATCACACGGGAAATCCAGGCCTGAAGGACAGCCGGGCGCTCTTCACTGGGGCCACATTCGCAGCTTTGTTTACATACTCAGAGCACAGGCATCTGTTGGAAGTCTTTCAATACAGCTGCCAACAATGTATGCGCAAACTTTTGTTTACAGGATATACATTTATACTTTTAAAAAGCCAGAAGGTCCTTGTTTATAAGGATTCTATCTCTCAGCATTAGAGTTTAAAATTCTAATTTAAAAATAAAGTATAAAGCTAAGCATTTTAAATAACCATTCATCCAGCACAAAGGGAAACAACATATTTACAAGTAGACGAGGAATATTGTTTTACGTACTTTTTAAATTTTCAAAACACTTGGTTCAACAACAAATGTAACCTCACAAGTTCTACAACAAACCCACAGTGACACACTATTTTCACAGAGGTATGTGATGTTCATTCAGGGTTGAAAATAGGAAATCTATTTTGCTACCCATTTTGGAAAATTATCCATAATTTTGATACTATGTCAAGACTTAACTAGGTGTAGTTTCTTGAAGGTTATGGCCAAAGTAAGATCAGTGGAAATGGACACTCCCGAAGTTCCAATTTAATATAAAATAATGATCAGAAAACTGTGAAATTATTTTAATAATATTATTATTAAGAAGATTAAAAAGTGATTAAATTTCTTACTCCAAAAGCTAACAAAAAAGCAAAAACAAAACAAACAAGCTAGAAAGTAACAGGAAAGAAATAATAGAAGGCAAAAATAAAAATCTGTGAGGCAGAGAAGTAAACAGATTATAGATATTAACATATCAAAATTCTGGCATTCTGACAAACATTAGCTCTCTAGAAAGGCAATAGTGAATTAGTCTACGGCACGTGGACTTTACGTATGACATTTTAAAGTTCTGTGTTGTAAACATTTTAGCATCATGAGTACACTCTAATACTGTTTGGTTTACATTTTGTTCACAGTTTATTGCAGACCACAAACCATAAATCTCATCCAGTGTATTTACTTGAACCTGAGGAGGCCAGAATTCATTTTGGTTAGTTAGCTTATTTCTGAAGCATATCTCCCAATATAGCTCAGACTGGCCTAGAACTCGTGATTCTTCTGCTTCAGCCTCTGAAGTGCTCTGCTTTCAAGCATGACGCATTATGCCTGGCATGTTCTTTGGACATTGGAAGTGAGAATAAATTTGCACCAAGCCCGATGACTTGTGTGTTTCCTCCCCAAAAGCCACAGGGCAGACTAAGAGAACTCTCACAAGCTTCTGACCTCTCCACGCGCACTGCGGCACACTGCGGCACACTGCGGCACACTGCGGCACACTGCGGCACACTGCGGCACACTGCGGCACA